CGATTTTTACCAAATTTTATATGCGTATTCAGTAGGTCTGAGAATCGGCTACTATCTATTTTTCATACCGCTAAAGTGATTAGGGAGTCCCTATCCTACCGAGTCCTACTTCGTTTCTTCGTCTTCGCCTTGCATGGCAGATGGAAAATGTACTAAAAATTTTTCTAAAGATTTCACTAATGATACTATAACAAATACCGACGGATATCCAATATATCGTCGAAGAAATCCCGTTAATGGGGGACAATGGCGGGTGGTGCCGTATTCGCCTCTGCTTAGCAAGACATACAATGCTCATATAAATGTTGAGTTTTGCAGTTCTGTGAAGAGCATCAAATATATAAGTATGTCCATAAAGGCAGTGATATGGCTGTGTTTAGAATAGAAAATACTAATGTAATTGCTAAATGCTCCTCCAATGAACAAAAAACGGTGAAATTACGCTCTACCAAATTGGTCGGTACATCAGCTCCAATGAAGCTGCTTGGCGTATCTTCGGTTTTCTAATTCATGAACGGGATCTAGCAGCTGTTCAGTTAGCCGTCCATCTTGAAAACGGTCAGCGTGTATTTTTCACGAACGAGACAGTGAATAATCGTGGTACAAATCCACCTAAATCTACACTCACTGCATTTTTTGAGTTGTGTAATAGTACGGATGATTTTGGTGGGTTTGCAAGAACATTACTCTATTCACAAGTACCACGCTATTTCACATGGGCTCAAACAAAAAAATGGATGCCCCGCAAGCAAGTTTTACCAGTTGATGCATGTCTCAATTTATTTAAATCGAACGCTTATTTACAGATAATCCAAGACACACTGAGTGCTTTTATCTTCGACTGTTGTTGGTTAATGTTACTGGCCCATTATCATTATTATTATTTACAGTCAATCCAAGACAATTTAAATTTGAAGATACAACAGTTGTTGCTAGGGAACTTGGTCTCATACAAATCTATTGATTTTAAATTAATAATTTAATAAATAAACTATAATAACTTAAAAATAATATTGTATGGCGTTTGTTATTTTTATTTTCCTTTTCGTTCATAGCGCTCCATGCCAATTTCATGCATATACCACATACTTACGCACTTATAATAAGTAAGTTACTTTTTGTCTACACTAGAATTTATCTAGAAACTAGAAATAATTTATAAGGCAAAACAACGTTTGTCGGGTTATCTAGTAATATATATAATGTAATATATGTATTATATTTTATAATAAATTATATTTATATATTGTATATTATTATATATATATATTATATATTAAATATTTATTATATATACAATATGTAAGATATATTGTAATGAATGTACTCGTAAACTATCCAACCGATTTTGATTTTTACAAAATATTGTTAGTAGGAAGAGTAAATTGATAAGCTATGTTTAAACTTAACAGTAGGTGCTTGTTAAATATGTTTGGCCAGCAATAAAGTCAGTATATAGGCGATCTGCATGATGTCTTTCATTTTCACTTGTACCTGCCATTATGTTTTTTTATATGGATAAATTTTCTGAATCAAAACTAATTTCGAAAAATTATTTGAAAAAACTTGATTTTGGATGGAGACCTTTGTTGAACATTTGTCTATAATGTTGGCTGTTTGGCGAACAAAAGTTGTTTAATATGCGCTTATGAAAATTGTCCAAGTAATTAATTATTAATTATCAAGTACTATTTGTATTTATTTGTACTTAAAAATCTTTGTTATTACTTTTCCAAATAATCATAGCTCTTGAATATGCTAAAGCGCATTACTAAGCTAGTTTATTTAAAGGAAATTTCTAAAGTTCATCAAATTCTAAAATAACATGTACAATTCTAAATTACTAGTATACAAAACTGTGTAGATTTTTTTCATACATTTGAGTTTTTCAATTTTTTTCATAAATGGTTTCTATTATAAAAATAACTTTACATTTTGAAACATTTACTTCAT